AGTGGACTCAATTTGCACTATTTTTAGCAGTCTGCAAAGGCCCTGAGAAAAAGCAACAAATAGTGCCTCTCCTTCCCTCCATCTCACTCCAACAGCTGAGGTGAAGGCATGAAAGTTTGAGACACTTGGTGATGTATTTATACTTTTTATTGTCACCTCTTGCTCCAGCCTGGATTACCACTGCTTTCCCTTTTCCTCTTAGGTCTCATCTGCAATGCAGAAATAATGCAGTTTGACACGTCTTTAACTGCTGTGGCTCACATGGATTACTAGAATATAAATCACACTTTTCAAGATAAGTAGTTAGGCAGGATATATGTTAGGTACCAGTATTTGTTGTTGTTGTGTGCCTTCAAGACATTTCCAATTTATGGCAAACCTAAGGCAAATCTATCACAAGGTTTTCTGAGGCTGAGAGTATGTGACTTGGCCAAGGTCACTCAATGAGTTTTCATGGCTGAGCAGGGAATCAAACCCTGGTCTCCAGGGTCATATTCCAATGCTCAAACCACTACACTATGCTGGCTCTCAGGTTAGGTGTACCTCTCCTTTTTCTATTGTTAACACGCAGGGGTAGCTGTATTGGCCATTTAGCAAATTCAAACGAAAATCCACCAAACAGTGGTACCATTATTGGCCAACCGAAATGCACAATATACATGTTGCAAGCTTTCGAAGCTGCACTGGCTTCTTGCCTGATGAAGAAGCCAGTGGAGATTTCAAAGCTTGCAACAAGTATATTGTGCATTTTGGCTGGCCAATAAAGGTACCACTGTTTGGTGGATTTTTGTTTGATTTTACTATTGCTGTTTACCTGTCTTCGGGATACAATGGTTAACAAATTAGAAACATGTAGTTACATAGAGAAATAGATAGCAAGTTATTAAAAAAAGAAATCTGGAGGATTTTTAATGCATTTTAAAATAATAATAATAATAATAATAATAATAATAATAATAATAATAATAATAATAGCAATTCAGTTGATCAGAACAAATATCAATGCGCATGCACAAAGGTTATGAAATTGCATCAGCTTAATTGCCTCTCTTGAAGAGTGTGATGTATATTCTAGTGATACATTTACCAGGATTTAGATTATTTTGTATCTTTTCAAACTGAGTAATAATTTTATTATTTTGGAGCCAGTGTGGTGTAGTGGTTTGAACACTGGACTATGCCTCTAGAGATCAGGGTTTGAGTCCTGGCTTGGATATGAAACCCACTGGGTGACCTTGGGCAAGTCACATAATCTCAGCCTCAGAGGAAGGCAATGGCAAGCCCCCTCTGAAGAAACTTGCCAAGAAAACCCCATAACAAGGTCAGCTGAGGGCTGCTATAATTTGGAAGCAACTTGAAGGCACACAACAACAACAACAACAACAACAACAAATCCATATACTGATACATATTAACTCTTTTATCCCAACTTTTATTGGCTGAGTTTCATTGGATATAAATTAGGTGGAGGGATGAGTATGTCTAAGCCAAGAGGCATGTTTTTGTGTGAACCATTATTAACATCAGTAAGTCGAGTAGAAAGTCAGTTTATAGTAGTGGTTTGAATGTTGGACTACAACTCTGGAGACCAGGGTTCGATTCCCAGCTGAGTCATGACCTTGGGCAAGTCACATGCTCTCAGCCTCAGGAGAAGGTAATGGCAAACCTCCTCTGAACAAATCTTGCCTAGAAAACCCCAGGATAGGCTAGCCTTAGGCTTGCTATAAGTTGGAAATGACTCGAAGTGACACAACACAAACAGGAGTAAAATAAAAGGCTTCAGATGGCTCAGTGTACAGAAGCATACTGTTTTCCTATTATATCATACTACGTATTGTTCAAACAAACAGCTGCCTGTCTTAAGCTCTCCATGCTTAAGGCTAACAATTTGAAATCTACCTTCACCCCCTAGGATGTATCCACACGGCAGAAATAAAGCAGTTTGACACCACTTTAACTGCTATTGCTTATGCTATCGAAGTCTGAGATCTGTAGTTTTGTGAGATGTTTAGCCTTCTCTGTCAGAGAGCTCTGATGCCACAATAAAACTACAAATCCCAGAATTTCATTCCACAGAGCCACAGAAATTAAAGAAGTGTCAAACATCTTTATGTTATGTAGTGTAGCAGCAGCCCTAACCAAGGCAATAAATGGCTCTACCAGTCTCCATGCCTTTCCATAGCCACTCTCCACTTCCAGAACGGTCACTCACCAGTTTTCAAATGCTGTCTTTCAAACTCTTGGTCAATTACCAGTCTCCTCCGACATGTTGTGCATTCCCACCAACAAACCGTTTATCTTAAACTATCTAGTACATCATAGACAATGACAACTTATCATAATTCAAATAAAATTGATGTACTGTAATAACATTGACTTTTATTGTTTTTAATAATTTTTATTTTTCTATCATCATGCATAGGTGCAATATCATTTCCATACATTAATTAAATAAACAATGGTGGGTGGTGTTGTGTGCCTTCAAGTCTTTTCCAACTTATGACGACCTGGTGACCTTAGGCAAATCACATGCTCTCAGCCTCAGGGGAAGGCAATGGCAAACCTCTGAACAAACCTTGCTAAGAAAACCCAGTGATAGATTCATCTTAGAGTCACCATAAGTCAGAAATGATTTGAAGGAACACAGCAACAAATCATGGTGTCTTTCTTCTCAACAAGCTTCTTCAGAAAGAGTTTGCCATGGTCCACTTCTCAGGCTGAGAGAGTGTGACTTGTCCAAGGTCACCAAGTGGATTCCCTCAACCAAGAATAAAATAGATTAAGATATTACATATCAGTTTTAAATTTTAACTTGATTTCTCTTCCACCGATTTTATAACCTTTTGTTATTGATTTAAATCATGCTTTTTTTGCTCCTTACTTATCATAACCTTCCCAATTAGTTTATCTTTCTTATAATCTACATCAGTCTCTACAAATTTAGAACTTATTTCTACAGTAGGTACTTACAGTAAATATATTCTATCAGTGTATGTATCATTTTTAATATATATTTATTGATCAAATTATATATTTATACATTTCCTTATTTAGTTTTTGTTTTCACTTTATTCTTCAACACTTATAACTGCTATTTCCCCTCAATTTCCTTTTAAAAAATCCCATCCCTTGATCTTATTCATTGATTTGTGAATTTTGTCCAAGTGTTTTCTCTAATAATAGTACTGTAGTTAATTAGTAGTGCATCATATTATATAGTATCGTTAACCAAGCGTCTTTTGTGGAAATGTCCAGTTTCCACAATCTGACAGTTATGAATCTATGTAGCATAGTTTTTCTCTTCCTTTCTTCTATTTTTCTATCTATCATATTTAATAAATAAGTTTGCGGTTTCAATTCAAGTTTATGTTTTAGTATCTTTGTACAAGAACATTTATATATACTCATTTATATACTCACAGTCCTCACCATAACCTACTGTAAGGCAAATAATATCCAAGTCCAGGAAAATTATTTTGGTATCTGTAGCAGAAAATCCTACTAGTTCCCCACCCCAGTAGGTCTGCTGTTGAAATCTTAAAAGATCTGCTGCCTGAAGCAGCCACCTCAGTTTGCCCAAAAGTACATTTGGCCCTGCAAAGATCTTTATTGTTTTTATTGTTGGTACTTTGTGCACTATGTACTTTTTATTGTGTAATCCCGCCTCAATCCATTGGGAGACGGGAAATATAAATAAAAAATATTATTATTATTAACCCTGCTTCCATAGGTGACTGCCTCACTATGACTAAGATTACGTGGAGGCCCTGTTAGGGCCAAATTCAATTTTGAATATATTCTCAGGGGCACAGATTCCAGTGGTTTTTGTTGCTGTTAATCATACTCGAGTCAATGGACGTTATCACACGGGGTCTAAAGCAGCCCCATCCCTTCGCCATCGCTACATCATTCCGGTTCCTTTGCCTCCGTGATCAGACGACGTCGCGGCAAACCCCGCCCATCCCTGCATCATCCCTTCGCCATCGCTGCATCATTCTGGATCCTTTGCCCCGTGATCAGACGACGTCGCGGCAAACCCCGCCCATCCCTGCATCATCCTTGCTCCATCGCTGCATCATTCCAGCTCTTTTGAATTCCTCTTTCAAAGAGGAATTACAGCTGCGCAACCTGCATCATTCCGGTATGGTTCTGGATTGATTCCCTGCCGCTTTTCTTGCCGCTGGTGTGATAACGTTCCATCTTGACCCATAGCAACCCTGTGGATGAGACATCACCAAGACTCCCTTTCCTCTACTGCTCTGCTTAGGTCCTGTAAATTTATGCCTGTGAACTCCTTAATAGAGTCCTTCCATCTAGCATGCGGTCATCCTCTCTTTCTACATCCCTCCACCTTTCCTAGCATTATTGTCTTTTCTAATGATCCATTTCTAAAGATTTTCTGGGATGCAGTGGCTCAAGTGGTTAAGACGCTGACTCTGTTGATTGCAAGATCAGCAGGTTGGCAGTCCGAGGCCCGGATGCTGCATTATGGGTGAGCTCCCATCACTAGTCCCAGCTTCTGCCAACCTAGCAGTTCGAAAGCATGCAAATGCAAGTAGATAAATAGGTACCACTTCTCAGTGGGAAAGTAAACAGCGTTCTGTGCAATCATGCTGGCCACATGATCAGAGGACGTTATCACACGGGTTCTAAAGCAGACAGAATCCACACTCAGTCCCGTCCTATTGCAGTTTTTTTTCCCGTGTGTTCACACGACATCGCA